TATATATGTATTTATATTTGTATAGATATATATATATATTTATATAAATATATATATGTGTGTGTATGTATAAATATACATAATGCATATATATCTCTATATTTATATTTTTATATAGATGAATATATATCTATATCTATATATATATCTATATATCTATATATATATCTATATATCTATATATACTTATAAAATTATACAATTATATATATGAGTGCATATATACATGTATATATTTATATTTATATACATATATATTAATAAATATATATATATATATATATATTAATATATATATATTAAAATGACATACTCGTGTAAATGATTATCTCTTTATAACCCTTAAATATATTTCAAATATCTACGCACTAGAATTGGTCCACTGCGTCGTCTTCCCTTTCCCTCATAAACCCTCTCTCTGTGCCTATTGCATTACTTTCAATGCACTTTTGTCTCTGTTCATGGCCTTGGCAGATTTTGGTGACACCGTGCAGACATCTGCAGCAATTTCTGAACGTACATATTAATGGCGAGCCAACGAAACTGCCCGAATTGGAGGGCCTGGTATGTGTTGTGTACTTGAGTCTGTAGATATAGACGTATGCTTGTACTTATGCTAAACGTATGCTTGTTATCTATGACTGTATGCGTGTGTAGAATTAAACGTATGCTTGTTTTCTATGTCTATATGCGTGCGTAGAATTAAACGTATGCTTGTTTTCTATGTCTATATGCGTGCGTAGAATTAAACGTATGCCTGTTATCTATGTGTATGTTCTTATATAGATCTAAATATAGTCGGTACCTATGTTTTTTATGTTCGTATATCCATGTAAATGTATGTTTGTACCTATGTTTTTCATGTTCGTATATCCATGTAAATGTATGTTTTTACTCATTTTTATATTCATATATATGTAAGTATATGCTTGTACCTATGTTTATGTTCGTATAAATATATGCTTGTATATATGTCCATGTTCGCATATACGTGTAAACATATGCCTGTACCCATGTTAGTATTCGTATTTAGATGCAAATATATGCTTATACCTATATGCCTATGTCCGTATATAGAGGTAGTCCTATGCTTGCATCTATATTTATACGGGTACTCGAAAGTAAGATATGTATACGTACACGCTTGTGCACCTATATGCGCCGAGTGAGCTGTGAGCAGTACACACACGGCATATAGCTGGGTTGTTTCGCCGTACTCAGATGACGATAGTTCATGTCACCTATGGTTCCGCTATAA